CCCCAAAACCCCAAAACCCCAAAACCCCGAAGTGAAAATATTGGATATTATTGGAAGATAAGATCAGAAAATATAAAATGATTTGTGTATCCTTTCAAGATTATCAGGATTTAATTAGTATCTATTAAAACTAACTTGAGGAGCTAATTGTTATAATTTTATTTCTAGATTCTTAGAGTTGATGAGAACTTTAGATACTTCAAATGCACTTTTCGCTTTGATCATAGTCATGCTGATGCAATGCGTAAGCTCAAATGGAATTACATCTGTGAAAGTATCAGCAGAAAATACTTTCACTGGAGATTCAACAAACATGACGATTATAATAGAACCTGGTAATACTACATTGAAAAGCAATTCAGTTTATATAATCACTCTACAAAATTAGGCTCTTGATGAGAATTATTTACTGCCAACTAAATTAGATGTTACCATTGGCACATCCCTAGAAAATTCAACATTACTGCCAAATTACGAATGCTTTGCTTTTGATTTAGACAAATTCAACCTAACATTATATCAGGATCTTGCATTTTCATAAACTAATCAAAGATACCTTTTTATTAAAATGTGGAAAGTTAAAAATCCATTGGACCCATCATTAACATCAAAGGTGATGCTAGATTACAAAGCAGCTAGCAATTTAGCATTTAAGCTATTTTCAAATGAACTTATATTTATTGTGCCTCAAATATCATAATACCGTTTAAATTAGATATTTTACCCAGATTTTTAGCCTGTAGATTTATCTGTAATTATATAAACAAGAAATAACTATCTATATTAAGATCAGTACTAGTTAGTCTTCTACTTTTCTCTCAGGAATCTTACTGACATTAATTAGACTGTTTATTAAGGAAGCTTACTAGACTAGGAAAAATTTAACTATTCAGTTATTTACAACTATGGAAAAATCATAAATGCTGTGACTAATCTCACTAGTACTTCTTATGATGAGATGGCTTAGCTTACAGAAGTAACTAAAATTTGAAAGCATTAATCAATTTATAGGTCATTATATTAATGAATGAGCCAATTCTTGCTGGAAGAGTGTATAATATAACACTAAATGGCTTGATTTCAGACCCAGTTGAGATTGATTCTTATAGCATCTTGGTAAAGTGAATTGATGAATCATTTTAGAGAGAAGCGATTTACTTTACCTCACAAAACATATTTTCTACTTTTATTGAACGCCCCATTATAGCTAATGAAATCAATAATCAGACTGAGCAGCAAGTTACATAGCAAATTTATTCTGAAACAACACCTTTATACCTTTACTATTTGGCAATAGCTGTGATATGCATCTTATTAGCATTTTTATTGACTGTTATCATAAGTCTTTATCACTGTAGACATAAAACTATTTCTTGTTTAAAATGCGAATATTGTCGAAAGAAAAAAAATGCTACTTCTGCTAAATCATAAGCCAATTAAGGTCACTAGTTGCATAAAAAAGACACTTTTGAAAAGAGTAATCCGGATGATCATGAAAATTCTCCAGACCTTGAATCTAAATTAGAGGACGACATATCATAAAGAACTTAAATGAATTAAAAATTTGCAGATTTTTTGTAGAATGACAAAAATTTTCCTAAAGAGATGTCATCAGAGTCTACACTTTAGACTCAAACCAATATTGAAAAGATTAATATTGATTAAATTGAGGAAAAGGTTAACATGAATGATGTTAAAATTGAATATAATTATCAAGAAGATTTTCAAGGAGTTGGCGATGAAGATTTAAATAGTGCTAATAGAATGATAAGGAAAAGTTAATGCGAGAATGACTTTGGGAATTAAAAAAATGACGATGAGAGAGTAGATTTAAATAACTCTGAATTGTACTAATCCTTTGATAATCTAGTTAGAAAATCTGAATTGAGAGAGGAATCTTCTTCTTTATATGATACAAAACTTACTATAAAAAGGATTGAGGATTAAGATGGTAGTAATTTTGATGATACAAGCAAATAATCAGTGAAGTCGAAAGAGATAAGGTGGAGTATCCATTCAAAATAAAAAGGCTTTATGAATAACTAAGTAGTATGCAACAAAAGGGATACAGAAAAGCACCTAGCTAAAAATAAAAGTTAAATTATACGCATGAATAGCAAATCTAAAGAAATGGAATTATATGATCAGATTTAGAAATTTAATAGTGCTAAGGGAAGTGTGCCAGGTATTAAATAAATTAATAATCCTGAAGATGGATTCTCTTAATAATTAGTTGATATTACAGAGCAGCTTAGCAATGAATTATGATAGATCTAAAAATTTTGCAATAAGTGCTTCTTCTGATTAACAATATAATTATTTTATGATCAAACTAATAATATTATGAGAATAAGTTTATCAAAATTTTCAAAATCAATTATATTTGCTAGCAAGGGGTTTTGGGGTTTTGGGGTTTTGGGG